ACATTTCGAATTGCTAAAATCATAAATTCCTTTATTCTTCTGACAACTGTCTTTTACACACAATGTATCTCTGTGGTAATAATATAATAATTTTATTAAAGAAAAGAAAGTTGCATATGGGCATCTGAAATTTGCGTAAGTAGGATGTACCTTCATGTTTGGTTTGTTTTATTTATTCTTTGATTAAATTTTAATTTTATTAATAATTCCATAGAATCATGATGCGGAAACAGCTTTATTTGACAATTTTCTTTCCTTTATTTTACAATTGACTAAGAGAGAACATTTGACATCTGAGTTATAGCTCATAGATTATTGGATTTGTTATATGTTTTTCGATATCTTTATGTATTTGAGACTGAAGAGGACTGCAGTAATCGTCGAAACGTTTCGTGTTTTAATTATGAACTTTATATAATAAATTTATCAACTGATAATTGTTGCTTGTTTATACCGAATATTAACATCTTACTTTTGTTGTTTTTTTATAATATAACAAGCGTTTTAATACTTATATTTTTATACATACGCTGGTGAAACAATGCGTGAAAGAAATATTCCTTTTAAATATCATTAATTTAATTTTACATTTTTGTACAATAATTTTGGAGAGAAAGTGCGATATTCGACCAAATCATGGATACACTTAAATTATTGTCTTATTAAAGCTAGGTTAAAATTTGAATTTTTAAGGACATGTAAATTCAATAAGGTTGTTCCGCTACACATTAAACATAATAATTTATGTAAGATTCAATTTAATCATTTCAAATCTATTAAGAAATTTAATTATTTATTAGCCTCTTTCGAAGAGAGGTTGTTACAGTTGGAAATCTTTGATATTAATAGGCAAATTCAAAATTTAGATTTAAAATTGTATTATTTAGAAAATTTCTTGAATGATAATATACCTATTAATATTTGGGATGAGATTTCAGAACATCATAGAATATCCTTTTATAATTTCAAATATAAATATGAAGGGATATATTCAAGGAAACTTAATTGGCTCATTCAAAAAACAAAAAAAGCACAGTTTAAAAAAATGAAACCGATTAATTATCAATTTCAAAATGATACAGAAGTTATTTCATATCAAATTAAACCTGATAAATTTGTTCACTTAAATGACAATAATTTACACAAGACTAATGAAAAATGGTTTATTAATTTTTCCAATTGTGACATCCCTCCTTCTGTATCTAATTTAATTCAATTGGGAGAGAAATTCTCCCTTCCGTCACATATTAATAAAAAAAGGTCAACCAGAGAATTCATTAAAGATTTTGAAAATTATAATAAATGTCTCAACGACAATTGTAAATCTAAACTAAGAATGGATATTATACCAAAATTAAATGAATTTACACATAATAACAATAAAAATGTTAATAGTATTGATAATGATTTGTGTCATATGTATAAAGAAACTATTGAATTTTGCAAAGATAATCCTAATATTGTATATACTAGAGCGGATAAAGGAAATGTTACCGTAGCTTTAGACAGAAATGAATGCATTCATAAAATAGAAAATACATTAGATGATACGAGTACCTATAAAATTATACAAAAAAATCCGATACATACAATTGAAAAGAAACTTAATATTTTAATTAAAAATTGGTTAGATAAAAAATACATTTCAAAACAAAGTTCATACAATTTAAAATTTAGTGATTCATCTCTGCCTAAAGTATATAGACTACCAAAAATTCATAAAATTAATGTACCTTTTCGCTTAATAGTTTCTTCAATCAATACTGCATTATATGCTTTATCAACTCTTTTACATAAAATTATTTCAAAAAGTTTAATTGATGACAATAAATATGTTAAAAATAGTTTTGAACTTTTCAAAAACTTAGATGGTAGACAAATTGATAATTCTGAGATCTTAATTTCATTAGATGTTGTTTCTATGTTCACTAACATACCTTTGGATCTTGTCAATGATAGTATTAACAAAAGATGGCAATTAATAAATAAGAATACAACAATTCCCTTTGATGAATTTATCAAAGCAATTAATTTTATTTTTGACTCTACATATTTTACTTTCAATAACAAAATTTACAAACAAACTTATGGAACACCTATGGGGTCTCCATTGTCTCCGATATTAGCACATATGGTTATGCAAGATTTGGAGGAAATTGCCTTAAACAACTTACAATTAAATAATTCATTTTACTTTCGATATGTTGACGATATTATCATGACGGTTCCTGGAAATTTGGTGAACAAAGTCGTAGAAACTTTTAATAACATTCATAATAGACTTCAATTTACGGTAGAAATTGAAAATAATAGATCTTTGAATTATTTAGATTTGACTATAAGAGTAGATAACAACAAATTAAAAATAGATTGGCATCATAAAGATACGTTTTCTGGTAGATGTTTATCTTATTTATCAAATCATCCTTTATCACAGAAGATTGGTGTCATATATAACATGATTGATAGAGCATTATTACTTTCTAATTATGAATTTCATACCAAGAATATTGAATTCTGCATTGTAACGTTATTAAATAATAATTATCCTCTACAATTAATTTTTAGTACAATACAAAGAAGAATTGAATTTATTTGTAAATTTAAATTAATTGGAACACATACTGATAATAGTAACTGTATTGATCTCCCTATACAAAAAAAACTTTTTGTTGTACCATTTATTCCAAATATTACAAATTATATTACATCTAATTTAAATAAAGAAGTTTTTACAGTAGGACTTAGGAGTATTAATAAACTTAGTAGTATTATTAAAGTACATAAGGACAATACAGATACTATACAAAAGAATAATATAGTTTATAAAATTAATTGTCATGATTGCAATTCGTCTTATGTTGGACAAACTAAAAGAAAGTTGACCACGAGAGTAAAGGAGCATATGCGCAATTTGAGAGGTGATCCATCGAATTATTCTGTAATATCTAAGCATTGCAGTCAATATAAACATTCATTTGATTGGAATAATGTTCAAATTATGGATGTAGAGTCTCATTACAACAAGAGATTGATTTCAGAAATGCTTTATATTAAGGAACAGAAGAATGGCATTAATGCCCAAAATGACACGGAAAATTTAGACAAAGCATATAATATTTTGTTTTGATATATTTTATAATAACAAATAAGTTTGACATTGCGAATTGCTAAGATCATAATTTCCTTTATTCTTCTGATAACTGTCTTTTACACACAATGTATCTCTGTGGTAATAATTTAATAATTTTATTGAAGAAAAGAAAGTTGCACATGGGCATCTGAAATTTGCGTAAGTAGGATATACCTTCATGTTTGGTTTGTTTTATTTATTCTTTGATTAAATTTTAATTTTATTAATAATTCCATAGAATCATGATGCGGAAACAGCTTTATTTGACAATTTTCTTTCCTTTATTTTACAATTGACTAAGAGAGAACATTTGACATCTGAGTTATAGCTCATAGATTATTGGATTTGTTATATGTTTTTCGATATCTTTATGTATTTGAGACTGAAGAGGACTGCAGTAAGCGTCGAAACGTTTCGTGTTTTAATTATGAATTTTATATAATAAATTTATCAACTGATAATTGTTGCTTGTTTATACCGAATATTAACACCTTATTTTTGTCGTTAATATTTATATAATTTTATATTTTCTTATTTTTGTATTTTTTTTTATTTTGCAACGCATTACAATTATAAATCTATTTCTTTTAGTTTTTGTACATTTAATTTGCTGTTCATACAAATAAC